TTATTGTATAGTCTAGATTTATTAGCAGTCTTGTTAAACCACGGACTGCTAATAAATCTAGACTATACAATAATTGTTAAACCACGGACTGCTAATAAATCTAGACTATACAATAATTGTTAAACCACTGACTGCTAATAAATCTAGACTATACAATAATTGTTAAACCACTCCCAAATTCATTAAGGTATATTACGTCACTACCTCCATTAAGGTATATTACGTCACAACATTCATTAAGGTATATTACGTTTGACAACAAATCTAGACTATACAATAATTGTCAAACCACTGACTGCTAAGAAATCTAGACTATACAATAATTGTTAAACCACTGACTGCTAAGAAATCTAGACTATACAATAATTTAAACAGAATAAGTAATTGATGGATTACACCCAGTAAGGAATACTTGGTTATTTGTAAACAGAATAAATAATTGATGGATTACAACCAGTAAGGAATACTTGGTTATTTGTAATAATATAAATCACCTATTAAAGTGCATCCTATTACTGATATTGAAACAAAACACTTAATTGTTGATAACAAATAACAAAGTATTCCTTACTGGGTGTAATCCATCAATTATTATTCTGTTTACAAATAACAAAGTACTCCTTACTGGGTGTAATCCATTAATTACTTGTTCTGTTTACAAATAACAAAGTACTCCTTACTGGGTGTAATCCATCAATTCTTTCATAGTTATTACAACTAACAAGTAAGTATGTGTTAATAATAAGGGTTAGCACCATTACTTCTTAACGTCTCTGGTCTCTCGACTGTTGTTTTAGATCACAAGAGGAATTTGTCTCAGAAGCGGGTTTAGAAACTCTCCATGTTGTTACAGTTTTCTAGAAAATTCGATGGCAAAAATAAAACTGTTTTCGTCAGTCACCAAAATTATTTTTTCAACAGGTGTTCATTTGCACAAAAAGAATTGGATAGGAAAAGTTAGCTTCTTTTGTTGAAGTTTCTTTAAAGGTACACACAGATATTACATTTTTCCTCACCTGCGCTGTCTACAAATTGCATTCATAAACACCTGAGAACATAATATATATAATAACTGATGTTACAATTAGACTTCGTGGGTTTAATATGACTTATTAAGTGAGGTTTTGAATGTTTACCAAAAACAGCAACTGTGAATATGTCGAATAATGAGTTCTTCAATAAACACAAGGTCTTTTCCGTACATCATAAATCAAGTATTGTCAAATCTAAACAATGCCGTTTTGTACACTCGGCAATTGCTTAAATAAATCAATCTTTGCCCAATTAACTAAAATCGGGTCTCAAGAATATTGAAAAATGAGATATGTTTATTGAGTTAAATACGTAACAACAATTTATTTGTGATTCGGTTAAACCCGTATTTACCGAAAGAGGTGTTAATTTGAGAAAAAAAATATCCGAGTTTTTAAAAATTAAGTTCAACATTACTGATTAATTAAATTATTAATATAATACTGAACAAACATCCAAACTCATTTAACCTAGTCCTTACAATAATCAGTTCTAAACTAAATTCAACATTAAAAACCACAGCAACATCATTAAAATACGGTTAATTACGTCAAATTAATTATATTTCAAACACGTTCATAAGTGTAATTAATCAAACTTTGTTAAAATAATAGTTGGTATTTTCCTGCCATTGGATCGAGATATACACTCACTTATGAGATGGGCTACATTTTTAAGTTAGTCACCCTCTCTATTAAACTAGACGAAGAAGCTGAGCGTCTGTCAATACTTGTTTTGATTCTTGGAACAATCATGCTCACAGTTTTTGTAGTTGAAAAAGGCCAGAAAGTCCTACCTCGTGGCTACAGGTGTTAAGAGATCGAAGGTGGACGAACGCAGTTCCGGTCAGATACCACCAGTACATCGCTGCTATTATCAACACGTGCCAGACTTGATGGCTGGATCCTACAAAGTCCACTCTTCCGGGAAAACAACACTCTGGGAAGCGAGTGATGTAGAAAGCAAATCCGGTACCACAAAGCAGGTACATGACGCCTATACGCGGGAGTAGTGTCTGCATGATGGGGTTGTCATATCCGCCGTAAAGATGAAAACAGTGGAACGTTGGCACGACACCGAACACTGCCCACAGAACGAACAAGGACACTCGGAGGTAGTGAAAGGTATTCGTCTGGAAATACGAGTGAAAGTGCAGTATTAAAGCTCCAGCGGTCAATAACCCAATGATGGACAGGTAAAACACTTTCATCTCGGGAAAACAGTGGAAACCGTAGTGAACTCCCGAGGTGACGATCGCAGCCAGAGTGGCAGTTATTCCAGCCAAGTCCCAGTGGAGCCACTTGGCGTATGCCGACTCGGAACAACAACCAAACGTATGATAAATAACGGAGAAAAACGTTGTAACGAGAAAACTGATAATTACACAAGTATTTATGAAAGCATCTTCAAAAAACGGGTGCAACTGGGGTATGACCACTAGTGAATTATAGATTAAGAGCCCCAAGAAAAACACAAAGCCGATGATATGACTCCAAATGTTTAATGTTTCATTGGACCACCACAGAAGACTCCTGGCACATTCTTGAGTTGACAGATAAACACGATAGCCACTATGAATAAACGGATTGTGTTTGAGGTAATCAGGAGCTTGATCATACAGGTACATGTGAGGTTCATTTCCAAATAAATTCTTTGTCGGCTCTTTCGTATCGGGTTTCTTTGAACTTTCCATCTGCGTCTAGTGCTTTCTTACGTCCGACGAAGAAATGTGAGTCAGCTCACAGAGCAGGTAAAATTAAGGTTACTCTGGGAAAATATCACGTACATATATGATAACTAGCGCCACCTTCTGGACAGCGAAACATTCAACTCGGCACACATTTTGGTCACTATTTCAACCTACGTGCATAATTTAACATTGTCATTACTACACTATAAAATCGTCGTTATTACATCTTTAACATAATCATTATTACACCTTTGACATCGTCATCATTACACCTTTAATATCGTCATTATTACACCCTTAACACCGTCGTCTTTACACCTTTAACATAATCATTATTACACCTTTACCATTGTCATCATTACACCTTTAACATAGCCATTATTACACTTTTAACGTCGTCGTTATTACACTAAAATTGTCATTATTACACCCTGAACATCGTTATTAAGACATCTTTAACATCATCATCATTATTACACCTTTAACATCGTCATTATTACACTTTTAACGTCGTCGTTATTACACTAAAATCGTCGTTATTACACCCTGAACATCGTTATTAAGACATCTTTAACATCATCATCATTATTACACCTTTAACATCGTCATTATTACACTTTTAACGTCGTCGTTATTACACTAAAATCGTCGTTATTACACCCTGAACATCGTTATTAAGACATCTTTAACGTCGTCATTATTACACTTTTAACGTCGTCGTTATTACACCTTGAACATCGTTATTAAGACATCTTTAACATCATCATCATTATTACACCTTTAACATCGTCATTATTACAGAAATCTACCCGAACTAAATAAACAAGAAAACTTCTTGAGTGTTTTTTATCATACTCTGTAAATTCGTTTACCTTATAGTTAAATCTATTGTAACGTATGTGTGTAAAACTCACCAACATTTTTATTTAGACCATTAACATTATTTATTACCGAAAATTAAAAGTTGAGTTTATAATACGTCATCATCATGTTTACAGATGTTTGTACATCATTAACTTTACTGTATAAACATACAACAACAACAACTACTACAAAACAACGTAAAAGGTACACATTTTTTAGGTTGGTAATATTACCCAAGTCATTTAATGGTAACAAGGTGTTTAAAACATAGTGAGTCATTGCGAGCTTACATATGTAATGAAAACTATCTGTTGTAATTTACGTTCTTGTAAGTTAGTTTGTTATAATTTCTTCGTAGTCATAGTCGTGATTCGTTAATCATGTTTTGGTAATAGCTTGAAAGAAGCTGTTGTTGTTTGTTATTAAGCACAAAAAGCTACACAAAGGGCTATCTGTGCTCTTCCCATCACGGGTATCGAAACCGCAGACATACCACTGTGCCACTGAAAGAAGAAACTTTAAAATGTACGAATGTTTATAAGAAATGATTGTCAGTTACTGCCAACTTTCACTGGAACGACGTTACGATCTATCTGAAACAAATCTGATGGTTCTATTAATCTTTAAAACTTTTTACAGTTGCCTTACATGGCTAATTTTCTCAACCAGACACCCCCCGTCCGTGAACAGTAAGACTCGACGCATGAATTAAATCTATTTTAATAAAGTATTATAGCTTTAAAATACTGGCGTTAAAGTCATTTAATAAACAACACTTTGTAAGGTTAGACACATTAGTTATTTTGTATTCAATAATTAAGACAGAAATATTAATTTTCTGACATTTTTCTATTTTCTAAAAAAATTGTTGTTAAACTATGTGAAATGTTTAATTTAGTTTGGTGAATTTCTCAATAATTCGAACTTATACGTAAACGATGAAGTTAATAAAAACTATTACTCCAATAACCAGGATTTGATATTAAGATTTAACTCGATAATGAAATAGGAAAAAAGCCTGATAGGGCCTGGTAATTTGGACCTTCGAATCAAATTTCTTCACCGCACCTACTAGCCTTTCAGCAGTGAGAATGATATATAACATGGACAATCCCACTGTTCGTTGGTAAAGAGTAGTCCAGGAGTCGAGATGTTGACTAGCTGCATTCCATCTTATCAATCATTACTAAATTAGAGACGGCTAGCGTTTCTATAAAGAAACCCTTAAAAGCAGAGGTGAAGAGCATTCTCTAGAGTGTAAAAAAAACAAACATTTAACTGTTATTTAAGAAGAACTAAAAAAAAGGTCGCACTACATTCTGTAAACTCGACAGGACGAATGTAACCTTAAGCGTGTTCTTAGTTTATAACGTCATTCTAGTGTGTAACCCAACAGTGCATGTTCTTCATTGGAAAAATATACCAAGTAACGGATTGTACAATCAGCCTGTTAAAACCGAACCATAACGAAAGTGGCAGTATTCGGGGGTAAGTATATTTTTGGGCTCTAGATGGCGCTCGGTATTTCATCAAATTTTTAGGGTTAATTAAAAAGTTTTTCGCTTTGTTTGCTCGGATACTTTATACTACTCCTCTGGTGGGTTCGATTCCCCGCGGTGGACAAAGCAGATAACTTAATATGACTTTGTTCTAAAACAAACAAACAAAAATTATTTTATACTGTAGTAATAAAAAATACCAAATGATGATGTCGTATAAAACTGGTATCTAAAGTAGCGTGACATTTTTACCCTATACAACAATATGATAACAAGATATATATATTTATATGGGGTTATGATTCCTTTTATAAAATATGTATGATAGATAAGTCTACTACAGCTAACAGACGTACCTTTATCAAATCTGTATGATAGATAAGTCTACTACAGCTAACAGATGTACCTTTATCAAATCTGTATGATAGATAAGTCTACTACAGCTAACAGACGTGCCTTTATAAAATATGTATGATAGATAAGTCTACTACAGCTAACAGATGTACCTTTATCAAATCTGTATGATAGATAAGTCTACTACAGCTAACAGGCGTACCTATGTGCTGCCACTACAGTAACCAGCTGTCATCTCAGGAATGTGATACTCCTACCAGTGTCTAGTCAATGTGCTGCCACAACAGTAACCAGCTGTCATCTCAGGAATGTGATACTCCTACCAGTGTCTGGTTAATGTGCTGCCACTACAGTAACCAGCTGTCATCTCAGGAATGTGATACTCCTACCAGTGTCTGGTTACTTATGGCAGAGCTCCGGGTCTCCTGGGGGTGTGAATACTGTGGCTGAAAGTACCTCTGACCCAACGGGTCTGAAGAACTCTAAAACAATCAGCCCCAACTTGTTTTCTGACCCAACTAGAAGATATGTATAATCTGCATAAATAAGTGAAATCACATGACTTCACAAATAAATCATGAGTTAAGCCTATGTAGTCCACACAAAATCATGTCACAATACTACAGCGTACCTGTGTAATCCATAATAAAATCATGTTCCAATACTACAGAATACTTATGTAGTCCACAAAAATATCATGTTACAATACTACAGTATATCTGTGTAGTCCACACTAAAATTATGTTACACTGCTACAGCTCAATGTAGTTAACACATAGTTCGTTAATTATTACTACCTTGCTCAAAAACAAATATCGAGATAAAACATTCATCATTATCTACCAAAGTCTGGAAATTGTTCGATCATACAAATCAAAGATATCTTCAAATTAAAACTACTCTAAAACAACTATGCTCTCTCTCATTTCGAATGAATCTTATAAAGACTGACACCAGTGAAAGTCATTGTTTATTAGCTGGTGTGGTATAGATTCTGTAGCATGGTATGCATTTCGGTGATGGGTTTCATATTTGTATAATCCGGTAAGGAGAATACGTGTGAAAAACAGTAGTCATCTTCGTCAAGGTGGAAAAATATGACAGAATGTAGCCCGGGTGCTAGATTTTTGGCACCAGGTTTTTCAGTAGTTATATGTTCAAGAACTGTATGAATCATAGTTATAGGAAAATATTATTTTCAACATTTTCCAGTTGAAAAATGGACACTTAATAAAGCTTGGGGACTTGAAAAATGGACACTTAATAAAGCTTGGGGACTTGAAAAATGGGCACTTAATAAAGCTTGGGGACTTGAAAAATGGACACTTAATAAAGCTTGGGGACTTGAAAAATGGGCACTTAATAAAGCTTGGGGACTTGAAAAATGGACACTTAATAAAGCCTGGTCCCAATGCTAATCACTACAGTTTTACACTCAGGGTATCACAGTTCTTTATCACAGTTTTACACTCAGGGTATCACAGTTCTTTATCACAGTTTTACACTCAGGGTATCACAGTTCTTTATCACAGTTTTACACTCAGGGTATCACAGTTCTTTATCACAGTTTTACACTCAGGGTATCACAGTTCTTTATCACAGTTTTACACTCAGGGTATCACAGTTCTTTATCACAGTTTTACACTCAGGGTATCACAGTTCTTTATCACAGTTTTACACTCAGGGTATCACAGTTCCTTATCACAGTTTTACACTCAGGGTATCACAGTTCTTTATCACAGTTTTACACTCAGGGTATCACTGTTCTTTATCACAGTTTTACACTCAGGGTATCACAGTTCTTTATCACAGTTTTACACTCAGGGTATCACAGTTCTTTATCACAGTTTTACACTCAGGGTATCACTGTTCTTTGTCAGTCTGAAAATTTGTACTCTCGGATGTGCAAACTGGTCTAAATACGTAATGTAAACATGTTATTAACCAATGTATACTAGCAGAACATGAAACTGTCATTCAGCAGCTAGCCTAATAATATCCAAGGCAAGTGATGTTACAATCAATTACCCTTTCCAAGCAAATAAAAGACATCAAGCGATATCACGAAAATAAAAATAATAATGGATAAAAATAGAACTGCTGTACTTTAAACATCCAGACCATCTACTACTACAAAATTCGCATGTACACACGGTCCAATGATGTAGGCTTACAAGAAATGACTGTAAAATCACTTTAACCACAACGACATAGCAAGTAGCCTGTAGTGCTGCCATCTAGGAGTAGAGAATAACCTTACATATGA